CCGAGAAGCTCGGTACAATCCACAAGAGCAACCGTGGGCAGTAGCTCAGCGCGTGAAGGAAGCCGGAATGAGGTGGCTCGAGCCTGAAAACAAGATGGGGGTCCAAGTGGCCGATCTAGTCATGTTGGAGCAGTACGTGCGGATTCTCCCCGTCGAAGGCCAGCAATGGGTACGACGACACTTACCGGAGACCCTCAAAGAAGCTGTAACACTCATGGAACACTTCTTGGCCGCTGAAGGAGTGGAAGGGAAGGGGGCGTCCGGGACCCAGAAGGATTCCAAGAAGGGTGAAGTCGCCACTCCAAAACTCGCGGGCCTACCACGTGGTGGGGAAGGGCGGAAAGCCCCCCTAGGACTCCTCCTGGAGTGGAGATTGGCACCTCGATGGAGCAGGCCAACAAGCGAGGCTGGTATTGGACGTGAAACAGAAATGGGGCCGGGAACCGCCCTTCAGGAAGGGACCCAGAAAGGGGCCTGCTACCAGTGCGGCCAGGAGGGGCACTATAAGAAGGATTGCCATCTTATGGATTGCACCTTCGGACAGAGGCGAGGCGGAGGCGCAGGCCAAGGAGAAACGAGCCGCGCGCAGGTAATGAAGACACTGTGGGTTAACGGGAGACAGGTAGAGGCGATATTAGACTCTGGATGCGGGCAGACAATCGTCCGGAAGGACCTTATATACCCAGCCCGGGCAAGAGGCCCCCCGGTGCCCCTGCGGTGTGTCCACGGGGACATACATTCCTACCCCACAACGCGAATAAGGATAGGGGATGGGGAGCTCGAAGAGGAGTGCATAGTAGCAGTGGGCCCTAAATTGGCCTATCCCGTTCTGTTGGGGCGGGACTGGCCAGGTCTAAGAAGGCTACTAGGACAGTGGGGAGGGGCTCGCACTGCGAGGAAGGCCGAGGAACCCAAATTGGGGACGTTGGTAGCACAGGGGGAGGAGGACAGAGGGGAACCTCCAGCCACAGAACCCGAGCAAGACGGGCCGCCGGCGTTCACCCGCCTGGGGATAGATGAAGGAGATTTCCTCACCCTACAATGAGAAGACCCACCCAGAGGGCGGCCTGGGACCAAATACAAGGAGCAGGAGGAAACTGAGGGGAGGGCCCGCTGAACTGGACCTCGGAACCTCGGTTTGAGGTAAGGGACGATCGCTTATATCGGGTGTTACAAGGAGATCTTTCCGGGGAGGAGAGATGTCAGCTGTTGGTCCCTCGGCCCTATCGGTGGAAGGTTTTGGAGTTAGCCCATGACCACCCATGGGCCAGACACTTAGGAACCGAAAAAACCCAACAGAAGGTGCTGCAACGGTTCTATTGGCCTGGGGTGTATCAGGAAATTAAAAACTTCTGCACCTCCTGTCCCAAGTGCCAGAAAACTTCCATGACCAGGATGCTACCAGCTCCTTTGGTTCCCCTTCCCATCGTCAGAACCCCGCTTGAGCGAGTAGCTCTAGATTTGGTGGGACCCCTCGAGAAATCAGGGCGCGGTCACAGCTATGTCTTAGTCATCGTGGACTATGCGACGCGCTGCCCTGAGGCCATCCCCCTAAAGAAAGCCACAGCCCCCATGATAGCCGAAGAATTGGTAAAGTTATTTTCATGGGTCGGTTTGCCCAAAGAATTACTAACCGATCAAGGGACGAACTTAACCTCAAAAGTCATGACGGATTTTACAGATTAAGAAGCTACGGATGTCAGTATATCACCCCCAAACAGACGGACTCGTAGAACGGTTCAACCGCACCCTGAAAGTAATGTTATGAAAGTTCGCTCAAGATGACCCTCGTGACTGGGACAAGCTGCTGCTGGCTTGATGTTCGCCATACGAAAGGTACCACAAGCATCCCTGGGGTATTCCCCCTTCGAATTACTATATGGACGATGGCCTCGGGGGATCCTAAACCTAGTAAAAGAAGGGTGGGAAGCGACAGTATCCCCAGCCCTGGGAGCCGCCCAATACGTAGAGAAACTGCAGAAGAACCTGCATGACTTGGCGGACTGGGCCCAAGGGAACCTGCGGAAAGCACAGGAAGGGCAGAGGGCTTACTATGACAGGAGGGCCCAAGTAAGAGAGTTCGAACCGGGCTATCAAGTCCTCCTATTACTTCCGAGTGGGGATTCCAAGCTATTAGCCCATTGGCAGGGACCCTTCCAGGTGGTGAGGAAAGTGGGGCCAGTCGATTACGAGGTGCGAGTGAACGGAAACCGACGAGAAACTCAAATTTACCATGTAAATTTACTAAAGAAATGGAACCAGCGGGAGGCCCTCTTAATTGACCCCCGGACGACTGACATAGAATTTGGGCCATGGGGGGAGCCCGAGGTAAAATTAGAGGGGATACGGATTGGGGAGGAGCTCCCGAATCCGAAACGAGAACAATTATACCGCACCCTTGAACGATTCCAACAAGTGTTGACGAATCGACCTGGACAGACCAACTTGATACACCACAAGATAAAGACCGAGCCGGGAAAGATAGTAAGAGACAGCATACGCCCCCCTCCCCAGGAAGCTGTGGGACACGGTGAAAGAGGAACTCCAATCCATGCTGGAGTGGGGGGTAATACGTGAGACGCATAGTGAATGGCAGAGCCCCATTGTACTGGTGCCAAAAACAGATGGGTCCATGAGATTCTGTATAGACTTTCGAAAGGTGAATGCTATTTCCCGTTTTGATGCCAACCCCATGCCGCGCATAGACGAGTTGTTGGGCTGTCTCGGGAGAGCGACTTACTTATCGACGCTGGATCTTACGAAGGGGTATTGGCAGATTCCGTTGTCCCCCGAAGCGCAGGCAAAAACAGCCTTTGCCACCCCCTTTGGGCTGTATCAATTTAGAAATATGCTGTTTGGTCTGCACGGAGCCGCAGCCACGTTCCAGAGACTCATGAACCAGATTCTAAGGAACCACCAGGAATACGCAGCAGCGTATATTGACGATATTATAATATTCAGTGAGCCCTGGGAAAGGCATCTAGACCATATAACGGCCGTGTTAGAAGCTTTACAACAGGCGGGGCTGACAGCCAATCCAAAAAAATGCCAGTTCGGGAAGGCGGAGGTTTTTTATTTGGGGTACACGGTAGGAAGAGGGAAGCTCAAGCCCTTGGTAGATAAGGTGCAAGCCGTGCGTGACTACCCTCCCCCGACCACGAAAAGGAAGGTATGCCAGTTTCTCAGACTAGCGGGATACTATAGGCGATTTATAGATAACTTCTCTTCTTTAGCAGCCCCTCTTACAGATCTAATTTGGAAAGGACAACCCGAGAAGGTAAGATGGATGCCATTGTGTGACGCGGCCTTCCGAGAGCTAAAAGACAGGCTGTACATGCCCCGGTGCTGGCCCAACCAGACTTCACTAAACCTTTCACGCTGCAAACAGACGCCTCGGAGACGGGGTTGGGGGCCGTATTGATGCAAGAGGAGAAAGGCAGGGAACACCCCATTTTGTATTTAAGCCGCAAACTCTTCCCCCGAGAAAAGAGGTACGCCACAATTGAGAAGGAGACGTTGGCCTTAAAATGGGCTATTGACTCATTACGGTACTTTCTTTTAGGGGATAAATTTATCGTGGTAACGGACCATACCCCCCTGCAATGGATGCAGAATATGAAGGACATGAATCCCCGGATATTGCGGTGGTACCTCAGCCTGCAGCCGTACCAATTCCAAGTGACGTATCGGTCAGGGGTTACCAACGGTAATGCGGACTGCCTGTCGCGTACAGCAGAAACCCAAAGGGAAGCCACGGCAAGTATGTCGCGAGACTTGAGGGGGAAGGTGTGTGGCGGGGCGGCCCCGCCCCTTCCTAAAACTCCCGCGTCTCCACAGAGAGCCCCGGGCGGGGAGCGGCGGCCCCCCGGATGAGCAGCGACACGGAGGAGCACATCCGTGGGACTTGGAGGCTGGCCGTGATGACGTCCGCAGTGACATCACCAGCGTGAGGCCTGGGGGCGGCGTGGAGTGATGACGTTGGGGGAGGCGTCATCCCCCCGCGTCCGGCGGGGAATTTAAAAGTGGGCTCCATGCCAGAGGGGAGGAAGACGGATCCCGGGGGAGTCGGAGTCTGGCTGCGGAGGCAGGACGGGTAAGAACTCTGGAGACCCTGGGTGAGTACTAACCCGGGGTTCTTGGGTTAGTGTCGGCCAACGACTGGGGAAGAAGCAGCCCAGGGCAGGGGCGTGGACCCCGAGAGCGGGGGAGTTTAGGGGTTTCAACCCCCTCCGCTGGGTAAGGACTAGCGTCCTGACCTTAGGGCCCTGGGTTGGGGTTCGGAGCGAGGGTGGGCCCAAACCCCCTTCCCTAGTGGGTGAAAGGCGACCAATCGCATTACGGGAGTTGTAAGGCGACAGAGTTTAATAAACCTGAATACCCCAAGTATGACTAGAGGGGTGCATTAACTGGGAAATAGGGGACACGGACGTGGGTGATCCCCTACAATCACCCACAAAGGACAGTGCAGATTTGGGAATCTCCCTAACATCCTCAGCCGTGAAGACTGAAGCAAAGAAATCATTTAGTTTCTCCTAAGCAGTGTAACTATCATGTATGTCCATGCTAAAACCTTTCTTTACTGCCAGATTTGTATAAAGAGACCATAGTGTTAATGAGACTAGGCCGTCAGCACTTTAAGATTTATCTATACTTGAAAGGCTGCAACTGTGCCACAATAGCAAAGACACTTACCTCAGTGACAGAAAGAGTTTTTTCATCATTGTAATAAATCCACCTCTTCAAGAGGTCACAGCTAGACTGATGACATAATTTTTCTGTCAACCTCGCAGCATCCACACCCAGGTTTAAGTTAGTTTAATTATATTGCATAGGGAATTAAATTTTTCACAGCCCTGAGCAATGTAGTTAAGTCAACCTAACTTTGTAATGTAGGCCTGCCCTTAGAAATATTCCTAAATTTGCATGTTGTTCTTCATATCAATTATATGTGTCAAAATAACCATGCAGTGTGGTACTTTGTTTGCATAAGAATTTTATACCTCTAATGCATTAGAGTAGTCTTCCAGTTCCACATAGAGTAATGCACGGTTAATTAACACTGCCAAGACAATTTCCTTACTCGATTCAAGAAGAAGAAGAATTCCATAGTCTTTCAAAGCCTAAAAAAGTTAAAAATATGTAATTTTACTAAGAAGCATACAATGATACTTATGCTTACAATCTAACACTCCAATCCTGCAAACACTCATGCCTTATTTTAAATACCTGAGTAGTCCTATTGATTTCAGTGTGACTACTCAAATGCTAAAAACACATACTTAAATGTTTACAGGAGCAGGGCCTAAATGAGGGATGGGCAACCAAGACTACTGAGCAGGCCATATGAGTGGCCCTCCTTCGTCTCAGGGGCTAAATGATTGAAATCCGGTGGTGGACAAGCTATGGCCTGCAGCCTACTGGGGTTCCCATGGTGGCCCACACACCCTCTCTCTGTTCCTTTCCCCCCACACCTCTTGTGCACTGGTGCACTGGAGCCCCACACATCCTACTGCTCTCCCTCCCTCCCAGCACTTTCAGAATAGCCACAAACAGCTGATTTATGCCATTCAAGGTCTGGGAGGAAGGAGGAGGAGTTGGGACGTAGCATGACTCACCAGACTCATGGCACTCTGGAAGTGCTGGGAGTGGAGGGAGGTAGTAGGAAGTGCGGAGCTCAAGTGCACAAGAGGTGCGTGAGGGAGGAGGACAGACAGAGGGTGTGCAGGCAGCAAATGGAACCCCACAGGTTGCTCATCATTGGCCTAAATGACAGAAAGGAACATAATACAGTAGTTATTTTTGTCTCACTGTATTGTCTATTCCCTTCTATACTTCACTCTGTATGTACATATGCCCCCATCTGCAGAATACAATAGCAAAGAGACTAAGTCTTTGTCTCCACTTTTAAAATTAAAGTGAAGCCATGGCAGCACTTTAAAGTGTGGCAAGGGCAGCACTGGGAGAGAGTTCTCCCAGCACTCTATGAAAACCACCTCCAAAGTAATAGCTAATACTGCTGGGAGCCCATTTACACTGTCACTTTAAGGACTTGAACTTGCTGTGATTGGGAGAGGGGGAGGTGGGGGAAGAGATATATTTTGTTTTTTCATACCCAATCCAGAAAGTTGCAGCACAGTAAAGTGGCCGTATAGGGTCTGCATTGAGGTTATAAATATTTTATGTTTAGAAAGAAAACTGCTATTTTTTCCTGTATCAAATTTGCTCTTTTCCATAGTCTTGTTTAAACTTTATTTTAATATTTTAACTTCATTCCCCACTCCTCCCCCTCTCTCCCAGAGCTTGAATGCCATGAGTCAGAGCAGGGATGGAGCATGAATCAGCAGATTTATGGTGCTTAGAAAGTGCTGGAAGGGAAGGAGAGGAGTAGGAAGTGCAGAGCTCCAGTGCACCAATGCACAAGAGCCATGGGGGAAAGGGACAGAGTGAGGGTATGAGGGCCACTGGTGGAACCCCAGTGGCCCATAGGCTGGAGACTGCCCATCATGGGATTTCAAGCATGTAGCTCACTGACATGGAGGAGGGTCACTCATATGGCTCACTCACTAGTCTTGGTTGCCCATCGTTGTTCTGGAGCAAAAAGATCTGTAAGGAGGAAGTAATCAAACAAAGGGCTCTCTGATGATTTTGACAACCAAGTCCCAAACCTCACCTCTGTGAAGATGCCCTCTGTCTCTTTCCAAATTCAGTGGGTTTTGTGGAACTACCCGATCCTGCTCCTCTGAGCGAGCAGCGGTTATAGTCAGGGTCACAGGGGACCAAGACCACATAAACGTCACAAGACAGAAACGGTCTTAACTTTTAACAACACTCATTCCTGCCTTAATCTGTTCTACTGCTGTTCTCCCCTCCTTCGGTTCTCCCCTCTTACCCTTTCTGAACTCCCCTCCAAGATTGTAGATTAAAACCACTACATATTTCTGCTGTTAGAAGGGCTAAAAATGAAGATTCAGATAATTAGAGGACAGAAGCACTACCACCATCTGATGCCTAATGCTAGAGTGGGTACGCATGGGTATGTCTCCAGTATCACTAATAGTAATCCCTTTTGGTGTCCCAGAAGCAAAATATACACATATCATAGCAGAAATGAGTAAGTCTACACTACACTACATCCTGAAATAAGCACAACAAATGTTAGTTATATAAGCCCATATTTTCAGCCTGACCTTCATTAAACAACACTTATTGTCATGTATTCATTCAAACACCTTATTATACCCACAAAACAAGCGCTTCAATCTTCAGCTGACAGCAGTTGTAAATGATTGTTGACATAAAAAGGAAAGCTTGCTACTAAAGTTCAGAAACACTTTATTAGCATTTTCAACAACTATATAATCAGGTGCTCCTGAATAAAAGAATATAATACCTTTTTAAAGTCCTTTATTTGGTGATAACAAATTGCTCTGTTGTAGTATGCCAAAATGCAGATTTTGTCCAAGTCAATAGTTTTAGTTAAGTCGTCAATGGCATTTTTGTATGTCTGGATATAAAAACATTCCATATAAAATTACTGTATAATTCAAAACATCTTATGTTCTATCCTGAGGAACACAGTACTGAAAAATTTCCTGTCTATTCATCAGTACAGGAAAACATTCTCATATTAGTTTGTCAGTTTTCACATCTTCCCTTCATGGGAATTTCTATGGGATTTTGACTGGACCAAGACTGTATAACTAAACCTTATTGATTTATGTTTAGTCATTCCCATGTTTGTATTACATAGTCCATCATGAATGTTCTCTAGCTATATTATTCTTTGACCCTCTCTTTGATTTTTTCCATGATCTATCACTTTGTATCATCTCCTTACATGGATGGTAGTTCATTATGGAGCTGTAGTTGCTCCTGTGGTCAAATTCATTTATGGGAGCATCCTTAATGGATACTGGAGAAGTAAAAGTGAGATAAATCCAAGTATCTTAGCCAACCCAATCCACTGCACCCTCTTCCAGAACCACGGAGCCACCCATGAAATGTCTTCCAAGGTGCTGGGGAAAGTGGAAGTACGCTATATTTGGTGGCAAACCTGATTAGCATTGATCCCTAGGCTTTTAGCTCTTTCTCCAGGTAAACCGCAAACATATTTCATATATTTCATCCAAGATAAAATATGTCTCTACCTTATTGTGATATTTCAAAGTTCCTCTGTAGAGATAGGCTCTCACACTGTCAGGATGAATTTTGATAGCCTCGTTACAATTCAGAATTGCCTTGGAGTATCTTCCCTTGCTACCATAGTAAGCAGCACGACTTAAATATGCCTTTATACATGAAGACAGAAAACATGCTGCAGCATAAATACTAAAAAAAACCTTTTGATAATATCTTGGGCAATCACAGAGTAAAGCTAAGATTTTTTTTCATAAAGGACTTAAAATTCTTAGTAGTCAGGAAACCAAGCAAATTAAGTGAACACTTGGTACCTTAGTTATAATAATGGAAAACAACATGAATATTGAAACAAGAAATAACTTATAATCTTTCATTTCCAAAAAGCCTTTGACAAGGTCTCTCACCAAAGGCTCTTAAGTAAAGTTAGTTGTCATGGGATAAGAGGGAAGGTCCTCTCATGGACTGATAACTAGTTAAAAGTAAGGATGGAATTTCGACTAGTCGACAGGCACTTCTGCATTCCTCCTTTGAAATGTACAAAGGATGCTACACTGCATGCCGCTAGGAGCCTGGAGTCAGCTGAGGACTTCCCTGCTGACCCCAGGCTCTCCCACTCCGGGTTCTGGGGAAGTGTTGCACGGAGCCCGGGATCACCTGGGGAGTCCCCAGCTGACCCTGGGCTCCACCTCTTCACCTCTTGCACCAGATCCTATGTGCCATGGAGGATTAAATCTACACTTTTTTTCCACATATAGGGTACGTCTAGACTACAGGCTTTTGTCAACAGAAATTTGGTCGACAGATACTGTCGACAAAGCTTCTGTCAACAAAGAGTGTCTAGACTACATCCAGTTCTACCAACAAAGCAAGCTGCAGCATAAATACTGAAAAAAAAGACAGGGCAGACGCAAAAGACAGTGTAGATGCAGAACTCTGTTGACAAAAGGTGTTATTCCTCATAGAATGAGGTTTACAGCCGTCAACAAAACTGTTAAGTTCTGTCGAAGTTATGTCGACAGAACTAAGAGATGCAGGTATAGTTTTGTCGACAAAAGTCCACTTTTGTCGACAAAACCCTGTAGTCTAGACATACCCATAGTGTCTCTCCATCAGCAATAGAGCTTATTCTGTCTTTCTGATATATTTTGCTAGTATTACTGTGTTCCATTGATGATCCCCATTCCACGAAACTTCGGTGATGTCTATTATATCATTATCTTCATTTAATACAAGGCACAAGTTCACCAAAGTAAGTATTTAGAGTTCTAGTATTTGTATATGAGCACTTTTTTAAAAGTCTTTTTTTTAGCTGTCTGCGACTCTTTATTTGATTATTTCTCATCAGAACCTACCCATATTTTACCATCTTCCATCCTCTTTTCTTTACTAGGATAGTCTCCATTAATGGATTCTCCCCCAAAAGATGTCTCTGTTGGGACCACATGCTCCCCTGAACTGTCAGCTTTCCCCCTAGCCCTTAATATAAAATCCGCTTTATGACCTGTTTAATTTTATGTGCCAGCAAGCTGGCTCCGTTTTGGTTGTGGTGGAGCCCACCCTTCCTAGACAGTCTTCCCCATTCCCAAACCCCTTCACAGTTCCAAATAATCTAAACCACTGCTCCCTACACTATCGTCTCATTCACACATTTATACCCTGCAGTTCTGCCTGCCTAACTGGCCCTGATATCAGAAGGCTTTTCAATTGTTCTCAAAAGCTACTCAAAACCAAACAGTTAGAATTGTAAATTGAGAATTACCTGAAAATGTTTTGGATTAATAGCAAGTGCTCTGTTGAAATCTTGGATGCACCTAGCTTGTTTGAGTTGCATTCTGCACAGTCCTCGTTGATAAAAAGCATCAGGAAAATTTGGATATACCTTAACAGCAAGGCTAAAAGCTTTGTAGGCCTAAAAAGTTGACATAATGGTTTAAGTTAATGCAACTCACTTGCACAATTGGAATCATAGGTATAATATTATCTTTTAAAACCCAGTAATATTTTTCTTATGTTTTCATTATTTTACTCTACTTATTTTTAAAACATTTTAATACAACGTATGAGACAAACACAGTTAAGTGAAGTTCTGCCCTCATTTAATACTTATATTACTCTGTTTTCTTCAGTGGGACTACACTGCTATAAACAATGGTAGAATTTGGTCCTGTGTCCATAAGTAACATACTAAAATTTGGTCCTGTGTCCATAAGTAACATACTAAAATTATTTGCTACATTAGTGAATACCTAAAATGTGATTTATTTAAAGTCCTTCTGCAGATTTTTCTTCATACTGGAACACAACAACATTGATTTTTCTGGGATCTGCTAATGTGGTAGAAGCCATATAGTCTAAAGAGAAAGCAACCCATTCCTAGTGGTCACAGTATGCCACATCTGGTATTTCAGCCACTTTTAACTGTCTCAGAGAAGGAGGCTGACAGGGTTACAAGAATAATGGCTTTGTCTACATTGGCAAGTTATAGTGTAATAAATCAGGTCATAGCACTATAACTCCCCAAGTGTCCATACTGGCAAGGTAGTGAGCACCAGCCCTGCAGTTGTTGTGTTTTAGGTAAGCCACCTCAAATAGAAGCGTAAAGCTTGCTATACTCTGGATACAGTGCTGTGGTGCCAGCATGGATGCTGCAGTGTACTGCAGCATTGTGACAGGTCTCCAAATGTCACATGATACCTATTCTTGCCTCTCTGGTCATCTGTTTGAACTCTACTGCCCTCCCCTCAGGTCACCAACTTTTAAACCTACCCTTTGCAAAATTCCTGTGCAATTTTGAATGTTCACTAGGCAAATCTTATTTTGTTTGAGTAAAGTGAAACAAATATACAAGAAACACAGCAAAAAGAATGCAAAAAGAATTAAATATGGTAATATCAGCATGGGAAAAATCATTTACACAATGTTCTGATAGAAAATAGAGTACAAATATGTAAAACATAGTGGAAAGTGAGCTTTAAAAATGTTTTATATTTTAGTCAATTTTCTTTCCAGCTCTTAAAGCCACAATACTAACAAATTCTAAATCATAAATACAAACCTGTAATAAACTGACTTGGTCCATATAACAGAGGGCCATCAAATAATAAATTTCTGCAGCCTCAATTGTATTAGGCAATTTTTTTGCTGAAGAATTCAGTATCTTCAATGCTTCTCTAAAACTTTCCACAGCATCCTGTAATAATATTTGTAAAACAGTATTCGCTTTAAAAGTCTGAGTTTAAAGGTGACAAGGACAGAATTTTTTTAATCAGGCCTGTGACCTTTTTTCCTTCTTTATTATATGTAATGAGGGCCTGTAAAGTAATTTTACTTTGTCTTTAAATAACTTGTTTTAGCCTTATACATTTAAGAAATGTCAAGTCTGGTTTTCCTTGGTTTCCCTGGAAATAATAATTGTTTTAATTGAAGATGTGAGAATAATTAAGTACAGCCTTTCTTCAAAATGTTCATTAGTGATTAGTTTAAATAAGTAGCTGTTAACAAAAACAAAAAGTAGAATTTTAAGCAGCCTGAGTAATATTTTCTTTCTGTTGCAATTGCTTAGCAAATTCCAGCCTCTTGACTCTTTTGGAAGACTTCATCCTGGGAAACAGTAACTCTGATGAAGATTTGGGAATCATGATGAATGATCAGAAGAATATGAGTTCCCAATGTGACTTCTATATCCAAAAGTAAGTAAGTGCTTGGATGCATAAATGGTAATCTTGGGTAGGAACAGAAAGGCTATTCTACCTTTGTATTTGGCACTGATGCTATTGATGATGATGATGTGTCCAGATTTGGTGCCCAAAATTCAAGAAGGATGTTAACAGGGTTCAGAGAAGAACCATAAGAACAATTAAAAGATTAGAAAATATACTTTAAAGTGACAGAATCCAGGAGTTCCACGTATTTAGCTTATTAAAGAGAAGGCTAAGGGGTGATTCAGTCACTATCTACTATGGTCTACATGAGAAACAAATATTTGATAACGAACAATTCAGTCTAGCAGACAACAGTATAACAAGATCTAAAGTCAGAAGCCAAAATCAGACTAGAAGTAAGACATATTATTTTAACAGTGATGATAATTAGAAACTGGAACAATTTAACAAAGGTCATTGTGGATTCTCCCTTACTGGTGATTTTTAAAATCAAGTTAGGATTTTTAAAAATATATATAGTAGTTCAACAGAAATTAGAGTTTTATGGCCTGTGTTGTACAGAGGCCAGATTAAATTATCACAATGGTCCCTTCTGACCTTGGAAGCTATTAATCTTTCATGTCATAAATTGTCAACAGAGCATCTTCCAGTGAGACATAATCTGAATTTCTAAACCAAACAAACCAAAAGACAACTTTCAAAAGCTTAAACCTTTAGGCTTCTTTAAATAACAAGCAAAGGCAAAACCCCAATGTTTCCTGTGACTGTGAACCATTGATAACTACTCTTTGAGAATGGTTATCCAACCAGTTATGCACACACCCTGTAGCTGCTCCATCTGCATTGTATTTCCCTAGTTTATTTATTTAGAAAAAGGTCATGCAAGACTGTACCAAATGTTTTACTAAAGTCTAGGTATACCAGATCTACCACTTTATCCACATAACTTGTTATCCTATCAAAGAAAGCCATCAGGTCAGTTTGATATGATTTGTTCTTGACAATAATTAACTATCTCAATTATAATACAATGGTTATGGGCTAATCATGCAAATACAGAGAGGTAATTTCACTCAAGAGAGTAATACTCTCATTGAATAAAGCTACTCACATACATGTGTTCTGGATGTGGTCCTGTTCTGTAATATATAGTAAGATTAATAAATTATTTTAGAAATGTGTGTCTGTCTGTCCATCCATCTAAGAGCCCATTTGTTCAAGAACCCTTCCTAACTGGTAAGAGCTAGAACCACTGAATTTGGTATACAGCTTCCTCATATCATAATTTAAAGCAAGGTCGGGGTTTGTTTGTGCCAAGATAATGGGATATGCCCAGAATTCCATAATTTCTCATAAAATGGAAAGGGAGGGGTCTGGTAGGAGGGAGTTATTCTGCATAATAATGACAGGGGTACAGCAAGGGGCCAGAGATGGGGACCCGTGACAGCTAAAACCAGTGTGCCACGAGGCAGTTGGAGGTGTGCCATAGAGGACAACAGAATTCAAAATGGCCTCCCTTAAAGGGCAGGCTACCTTTTATTGAGCAAAAACAAAAACAAAACTTTCCCCTAACCCTTTTTTTTCCCCACAATAACTTCCCTCTTCCCCCCGCCCACAACCCATTTTCCTCCTGACCCTTTTTTTTATCTCGACAAAAAATCCTTGGTGTTCCTTATAAAAAAAAGTTATTGTTTGGTGTTCCTCAGTCTTAAAAAGTTTAAGAAACACTGAATTAAATTGATGGGAAATCCCTCTCCCATAGCTTAGAGCATCTGTACTAGCAGCACTACAGTGGTCCCCATAAGCTCTGTAGTGTAGTGATAGCCTAACTCAAAGTGTCCTGCTAAAAATAAGATTTGAACAGACTGTTTAGCATAAATAATTATATATTTCAAAGGACCATTCAAAATGAAGTAGCACATTAACATCTCTCCAGTGATGGGAAGGAAACGAGTGGATGAAAAAAGCAGCTTGGGTGGTTGATAGAGGGTTTATGGATTGTTTTAATAAATAATGAATTCAGTGTGTCTATTCAGTCCATGATTTGTTAGTGACTAGCAAATGTACAAATGTAAAATTCCTTGATCTTCTTCTGAAATTGTTGTGTAGGTTTGAGGGCTGATAGGTCAGATACAGAGTTAGGGTACGTCTACACTGCATCCCTAGTTCGAACTAGGGATGCAGTGTAGACGTACCCTAACTCTGTATCTGACCTATCAGCCCTCAAACCTACACAACAATTTCAGAAATTCGAACCAGGAAGTGCGCACTGGGACGCGTTAGTTTGGACTAAAGCCCTTAGTCCGAACTAATGTTACTCCTCGTTTTTTGCTAAAATGCTTAGCAAATTTTTTGCTAAAGCCCTTAGTCCGAACTAACGGACTCATTTTTTGAGGAGTAACATTAGTTCGGACTAAGGGCTTTAGTCCAAACTAACGCGTCCCAGTGCGCACTTCCTGGTTCGAATCAGCTGTGATTCGAACTAGCGCGCCGGCGAGATCTTGTTAATGGAGCGCAGGATATTTAAATCCCCGCTTCATTAACTACTTCGGTTGTCTCCATTTGCATCCCTAGTTCGAACTAGGGATGCAGTGTAGATGTACCCTTATTGTTTTCTGAAAAGCATTTACCAACAGATATGGCATTTTTATCTTTTTTCATTTTTTGTGAGAGTTCATTCAAGGGTATAGTGGTAGCTTGTAACATACACATAGCTACTATTGGGGCATTTAGTCATGGGCGGCAGGTGAACCTATGGTTGAGGGAGGCAAGCCCCCTGCTCCAACCCGTCTGCGTAAGGTTCCACCACTGACACCCAGGGCCCTGTGGGAGACCACCCCTCATCCAGCAGCTCTCATTGGCTACAGTTCCAATCAATAGGAGCTGCTGAGTCAGCGTTTGGATTGAAGGTAATGTCTTACTGCAGAGACATGCCAGCTGCTTCTGGGAGTAGCACAGAACCAGGGCAGTCACTGCCTTAGCCCCAACGCACAGCTGAATGTTTAGTGACTTAAAAACTCCTGATTTGGCTTTAATAACCTCAGAGAGATGAAGTCAAATTCCAGGAGACTCCAAGTGATACTGAGAGGGTTAGCAAGCCTACATTCTACAAATATGAAGTAAGCAAACTTTGGTATTGCTCTTAGCTACATTAGATATTATAGTATTTGCACACTGATTTCTTATTATGTTTTGAAAAAAACAGCATTATGAAATTTAACCAGGTGCCAGTTTACATTATTATTTCTTTTTCCTACATTTTACATGGTTTTAAACTACAGGCTGTGTCCAGACTCAGGGTTTTTTCCGAAAAAGTAGCCTTTTTTCGAAAAAACTTCACCTGCGTCTAGACTACAGCCGCGTTCTTTCAAAATTAAATCGAAAGAACGCAGCTTTTCTTTTGACGGTGGTAAACCTCATTTCACGAGGAAGAAGGCCTTTTTTCGACAGTGCTCTTTCGAAAAAAGGCGTTCTTGAATGCTAACAGGGCTTTTTAGAAAGAGAGCATCCAGACTCACTCACTGCTTTCTTTCGAAAAAGTGGCTTGCTTTTTCGAAAATTCCGCTTGCAGTCTAGACGCTCTTTTTCGAAAGAGGCTTGCAGTCTAGACATAGCCACACTGTGTAACACTTGCTGAAACATTAGTGCGGGAGCATTAACCTGAAAGTCTTACTCTTCCCTTTTGTAATTTAAATACTGAAATATAGAGAATGTTTGTTAAAAATGAGACACTCTATGAAGCATCAAGGCTATAAAAACCAAGATATTTTATTGCTTGGCATTTTACTGTAAATAGTTTAGAAAGAATTTTCTAACCTTAGTTTTCTTGGCTTTCATTTGTATTTTTCCTAGCAGAACAAATATGGAAGGCGTAGGCTGATTTGCAATAAGCTCCTGTAAGCATGCTATAGCTTCATTGTGATTTTGACAAAATGACTGAACGAGCGCTTGCTGAACAGGAGAAGTTTTAAAGGATACTGAAAATAAGAAAAACAAACAAACAATTCACAATATTCAATTATTGCACATTGCACAATGTATCCCTAAGACTGTTTCAAAGAATAAGCAAAGTTTAAATTGTTCAAAATTCATGAGAATCCACAGTTGTCTATACCAAAACACAAATAATTTTTAAAAAGTTGAGTTTTAATCCATTCACATCAAAGCCTAGGGCAGAAAATTTCAACTATCACCAGCAAAGTTAAGATCAAATCATGGGCATCTGCAAGCTTCCCCTCTGTAAAGAAAGAGAAAAGGAAAAAGATCACCCCAAATAAATACACAGGTATTCCTAAGGGGTCAATAGGATAATTGAATCATCCTTACTCAGGGCTTGGGGCACTAGCTCTGCTGCTCTGAGACCACCCACAAGGGTTACTAGAGCACTGTAGTATTTTAGCTTACAAGTGTGTTCGTGACACTTAGGCTGCGTCTAGACTGGCATAATTTTGCGGAAATACTTTTAACGGAAAAGTATTTCCACAAAAGTGCGTCTAGATTGGCACGGATGCTTTTGTCTAGACGCAACTTTGGGCAAGAAAGTCCCGATCGCCATTTTAGCCATCGGGGCTTTTTTGTGCAAAACAGTTCTTCCCTGTCTACACTGGCCCTCTTGCACAAGTATTCTTGTGCAACGGGGCTTTTTCCCGAGCGGGAGCATGAAAGGATTTGTGCAAGAAGCACTGATTTTGTACATTACAAAGTCAGTGCTCTTGCGCAAATTCAAGAGGCCAGTGTAGACAGCTGGCAAAATATTTCCAGTCTAGACACACCCTTAATGTCTGTAAAGCCATTTGATATGTTAGGAAAAACCTTCCTTGGTAAATACAAAGTATAACTATAAATTCTACATAATGCTCCGTTACCAATATTTATAAATATAAAAATAAATGGTACAAGTAAAGAAAGGTAAGTGAACGAATTGCAAGCAACATAAGGAAGTGTCCTAATTTAACAGTAGTTAAATTACTCCTTATATTAGGTTTCAGATAATATGTTTAATAAAAACCTAGATAATTAGACTGACTTTACCTTCACCCATTTCTGCTACTTGATATATACAGAAGCTTGCAAGTTTATATTCCTTCATCTCAATTAAATATTGTCCTCTGTAACAAAACAAAATGTTATTAAAATTTGCTCACTATAAAACCATTTTTTCAGGCTGAGATTTCTTGTTTAAGCACTTGTTTAAAGATACAAATAATGCAGAAGTAAGTAAAAGTCTAAAGTTTCTGATAAGAATCATATCTTCAAAGGAATACCATTCATATTTTCCCCCTTATTCATTCTGCACAAGCTTGTTTAAAACACTATCACCAAGAAATGTTAAAAGTGTATAGCTATTCAAATTACTGTACAAGACTCACAAAAAGACATTTTCCGTGGGCTCCACAGCTACTAGCAATTATACACCTTGAACTATACAAATATTGTTAATAATGCTATTTCTAAAATCAATAGTGTTTTCCCACAGAATGGTTGTTGGTAAATTAAATCTGAGTCTTAAGACCAAACTAGATTTCTTGCTTTTTCATGCACTACCACTAGTAATACAGGTCCCTGGAAGCCAAATCAGGCTTTCAAAGAAACCCTGTACAAACTCTCTTTATTGAGGTAACAAAGGTGGAATTGATTAAAACTTAGTAAAAGACTCTGTTAATGATGCACAAGAAGGAATAGCTTTTCACCTATTCCCTCTTAGCTTTGTTGTGGCTCTATAGTATTAATAAAAATAAAAAGCAGTCGAAACTTATTATTATTCCTAAAGTAAGCAGAGATTAGTTGAAATGCATACTGGGAATATTGACTGAATAAGACTTGTGCAACGGGGCTTTTTCCCGAGCGGGAGCATGAAAGGATTTGTGCAAGAAGCACTGATTTTGTACATTACAAAGTCAGTGCTCTTGCGCAAATTCAAGAGGCCAGTGTAGACAGCTGGCAAAATATTTCCAGTCTAGACACACCCTTAATGTCTGTAAAGCCATTTGATATGTTAGGAAAAACCTTCCTTGGTAAATACAAAGTATAACTATAAATTCTACATAATGCTCCGTTACCAATATTTATAAATATAAAAATAAATGGTACAAGTAAAGAAAGGTAAGTGAACGAATTGCAAGCAACATAAGGAAGTGTCCTAATTTAACAGTAGTTAAATTACTCCTTATATTAGGTTTCAGATAATATGTTTAATAAAAACCTAGATAATTAGACTGACTTTACCTTCACCCATTTCTGCTACTTGATATATACAGAAGCTTGCAAGTTTATATTCCTTCATCTCAATTAAATATTGTCCTCTGTAACAAAACAAAATGTTATTAAAATTTGCTCACTATAAAACCATTTTTTCAGGCTGAGATTTCTTGTTTAAGCACTTGTTTAAAGATACAAATAATGCAGAAGTAAGTAAAAGTCTAAAGTTTCTGATAAGAATCATATCTTCAAAGGAATACCATTCATATTTTCCCCCTTATTCATTCTGCACAAGCTTGTTTAAAACACTATCACCAAGAAATGTTAAAAGTGTATAGCTATTCAAATTACTGTACAAGACTCACAAAAAGACATTTTCCGTGGGCTCCACAGCTACTAGCAATTATACACCTTGAACTATACAAATATTGTTGTTAATGCTATTTCTAAAATCAATAGTGTTGGTAAATTAAATCTGAGTCTTAAGACCAAACTAGATTTCTTGCTTTTTCATGCACTACCACTAGTAATACAGGTCGTTGGAAGCCAAATCAGGCTTTCAAAGAAACCCTGTACAAACTCTCTTTATTGAGGTAACAAAGGTGGAATTGATTAAAACTTAGTAAAAGACTCTGTTAATGATGCACAAGAAGGAATAGCTTTTCACCTATTCCCTCTTAGCTTTGTTGTGGCTCTATAGTATTAAAAAAATTAAAAAGCAGTCGAAACTTATTATTATTCCTAAAGTAAGCAGAGATTAGTTGAAATGCATACTGGGAATATTGACTGAATAAGAAAACATTTTTATATATTTGTCATTAAGAGTACAGCCTCATGTTAAGTCTTTAATGTGAGGATTAATTGATGCAGAGAGCATTGAGGGGGCCCTCTACACTGAGATGAAATGACATTTAGGGTACAACTAGACTACAAGTTTTTGTCGGAAAAAGGTACGCAAAATGCACTCTGCATTTTGCGTACCTTTTTCTGATTCTTTTGTTGGAAGAGGCTTTTCCAACATTTGGCTTGTCTAGCCTAAGCCAAATGTTGGAAAAAACCTCTCTTTCAGAAGCCACCTTCTTCCTTGTAGAACAAGGAATACAGGGGCTTCCGAAAGAGCACGTTTTCTCTTTTGCAAAAAAAACCCAAAAGAGCAAATGAGTTCCCTGGACACAGAGGTATCTCAACCCCCTTTCTCCCCCCACCCCCGCAGTTTATGACGGATTTATTGGGTGCAAGTGCCCCCTCTCGCTGGAACTGGGGGGTTCCGCAGACCCACCATCGGAGTTTGTGGTTTGTATCTTGGGGTCCGATCCCTTGTGGCGGTGGATCGGCAAGGGGGTTCAGCGGACCCACTGCCTCGTCCCTGTTAAGAGTCCTGGGGTCCTATCCCCAATAAGGGTTCTGGGGTTCTACCCCTGTTAAGGGTTCTGGGGTTCTGTCCCCTAAAGCCCATCCTGTACGGGCAGCGGTCGCCCGTACCGCGTCCAGAGTCTCCCAACTCCCGGGAGCTCTGGCCTACTGGGGCAGGTTGAATAGGTTGAGAGTGGAGAGGGAAGAGTGGGGGACCCAGGCCCACCCTCTCCACTGGGTCCCAGCCTGGGGCCCTAAGTGGAAGGATTAGAGTGTTCCCTCCATGACAGGTGAGGTTGATCCTCGAAACTCACCCGCCCATGAGCGACAGAAGCACTCTGCTCTGGGCTTCTTCCACTCCCCATCCTTTGCTAACCCGCCTGCGGACCTGACCTTGGCACTCATCATTCCCACGTCAGGTCGGTGACCTGGAGGCTGCAGCATAGCTCCTTCATTCCTCCAGTGGGGCGGGATGTTCACCTTCCCGGGGAGGGGTCGGTGGCTCCTCCCTGAGCTGCCCCTAGACACCTTGTTTGTCCGCTTTTCAAGCAGCCCGGGGAGAGATGCTGTGCAAGGTAGCCCCACCCCCTGGCGTCCTCACGCTCCGGGATGCTGCGCCTGGGGTCAGGAGCTCCGCCCCTCGCTCCTCCCTGAGCCGTGTAGCGGGAATGCCCCTCAGGCGTCTGGCCTGTGTGCTGCAGCCGGGTCTGGCCCCACCTCCTACGCGGTGGGGCCATGCGTGTTCTGCCACGCTGGGTCTCAGCCCTGCCGGGGCTGTCCCAGCTGCCCGCGCCGCTGATCTGCCTTCCTGGCCCCGGAGTGGGAGAGGCCGCTCCCTGGGGCAGTGCGGACCCGCTGGGTCCGTCACATACCTCCCTCCTTTGAAGTGACTTGCTCGGGGTTGGCTCCTGCTCCCCTATTCACGAAAAGAAGTCCGCGTTTTGATGCGAGTCCCCAGGCCAGTGAATCACCTCAAAACAGTACGGTTGGAGGGCAAGATACCACCGCATAATGCAGACATTCATGTCCTTCATTGAATTCAACCCACTAGTGGGGCGTGATCGGTTATCAGTTTAAATTTATTACCCCACAAGTAATATCTTAGCTTCTTTCTCTATGGTGGCGTTGCTTCGCTCTTGGGGTAGGAGCTTCCGACTGAGGTACAGGATGGGGTGTTCCTCTCCCCGGTGCTCCTGTGCCAGTATTGCACCTAGTCCCACATCGGAGGCATCTGTATATAGGAGAAAGGGCCTATCGAAATTGGGTTGAGTCAGTACCGGGGCCCCCGACAGTTTTTCTTTTAATGTCCAGAAATCTAGTTTGGCTTGCGGGTTCCACCGCACTCTCGTTGGCTCGGTGTTCTTTGTCATCTCAGTTAGGGGTGCCGCCAAAGTGGCAAACTGTGGCACAAACTCCTATAATAACCTAAAAGCCCCAGGAACTGCCGTATTTGTTTTTTTGTGGTGGGGTCGGGTAGTCCCGCAACACCTGCACCTTGCTACAAAGCGGCTTCAGTTTGCCCCCCCTCCTCCTCCATGGTATAGCCTAAATAGGAAACCTCCCTCTGCGCAAGGTGGCATTTTTTTGGGGTTGCCGTGAGACCTGCCTTATCTAGGGAGGCAAGTACCTTCTCCAAGTGTCCCAGGTGGTCCTCCCAGGTCTGACTGTAGATGACAATGTCGTCTATATACGCAGCCGAGTATTCATGGTGGGGTGTCAGCAACCGATCCATCTCCTGCTGGAAAGTGGCGGCGGCCCCGTGGAGGCTGAAGGGCATAGTCATGAAGTGGAACAGGCTGAATGGGGTGGAGAAGGCCGTCTTTTCCCTGGCTTCGGGGTCCAACGGTATCTGCCAGTATCCTTTTGAGAGGTCTAGAGTTGATATATAGGCGGCCTTCCCTAGCCGTTCCAGGAGCTCATCCACCCTTGGCATCAGGTACACATCAAAGCAGGATATAGAGTTGACCTTCCAAAAATCGATGCAAAAACGGGTTGACCCGTCGGACATCGGCACCAGAACGATCGGGCTCTGCCATTCAGTGTTAGAGTCCTCTATCATCCCCCAGTGTCGCATTAGTTGGATCTCCTTCTTCACCGTATCCCATACTTTCTGGGGCAACGGCCAAAGGGGTTCTCGCACGGTCTTGCCGGTCTCTGTTTATCTGGTGAACTCCCAGGGTTGTCCGTCCAGGCTGAGCTGTGAGGATTTCCTGGTACCGCTGTAGGATACCTCTCAGTTGCTCTTGTTGCAGGGTCGTCAGCTCGGTGTTTAGGTGGACCCCTGGCGTTTCCTCTTCGTCCCCGCCCCATGGCCCAAGTTCATCTCCCTCTGACGGTGGTGCGATCATCAGGACCTCCCAAGGAACCCACTTCTTCAACAGGTTAATATGGAAAACTTGGGTGTCTCGTTGGCGGCCCGACAGCCTCACTTCATAGTCTACCTCGCCTACCTTCTTGACCATCTCAAAAGGTCCTTGCCATTGTGCCAGCAGCTTGGACTCCCGCGTGGGTAACAGGAGCATTACTCGGTCCCCGGGTTGGAACTCTTGTTGGCGTGCATTGGCATTATAATACCGTGCCTGTCTCCTCTGGCTTTCCTCCAGATTTAAGCGTGTATATTCCCCCAGACGGCTTAGCTTCTCGCACAGTTGGGTAATATACTGGACGGTCCCGCATCCGGTCATGGGTTGGGTCTCCCACCCGTCCCTCAGTAGGTCCAAGATTCCTCGAGGGCGTAGTCCGTATAGCAACTCGAAGGGGGAAAAGCTGGTAGACAACTGGAGGACCTCTCGCATGGCGAACAGGAGGCCTGGGAGCATTTGGTCCCATCCCCAGGGATCGTCGTGCATGAACCTTCTCAACATCCCTTTTAGCGTCTGGTTGAACCATTGAGAACCGTTCAACCAGTCCATCGGTTTGCAGGTGATACACGGAGGTCTGCAATGTTTGATTTTCAACATCTGGCACAGCTCCCTCATGACCCGGGAGGTAATGTTCATTCCTTGGTCGGTTAGAATTTCCTGGGGTAACGCAACCCTTGAGAACATTTTTACTAACTCCCTGGCTAAGATAGGGGCCCTGCTGTTCCTCAGGGGGACGGCCCGGAGTAGCGCGGGTCGTGTAGTAGAGGACTACTATTATATACCGGTGTCCTCTCCCGGAGGGCTCCAGGGGCCCCACTAGATCCAAAGCCACTCATCGAATGGCACCACGATTATTAGTAAGGGCACAAAAGGCGCCCTCGGCACCTGGGCCGGGGCGGTCTTTTGACACCCTGGGCATGACTCACAAAAGTCCTGCACAGCCCGGAACACCCCTGGCCAATAAAACCTTTGTAGCACTCAGGCTAACATTTTTTCCCGTCCCAAATGTCCCGACCAGGGGTTTGCATGCCTGAGTTCCAGTACTTCCCGGTGGAACTGCACCGGGACCACTGTTTCACTTCTCCACCCCCTTTCTCCCGTCACCCGGTACAAGCGGTCATTCAGTACCTGAAAGTGGAGGCCTTGAATTTGGAAGTCCCGGGTCCCTTCTGGCTCCTCAGGCATGATAGCCTGGTCCCATGCATTTTGGAGCGCAGTACCTGAAAGTGGAGGCCTTGAATTTGGAAGTCCCGGGTCCCCTCTGGCTTCTCAGGCATGATAGCCTTGTCCCATGCATTTTGGAGCATGGGATCCTGTCTCTACTGCGTCACGAAGTCTGGAGCCGACTCCACCCCTAAGCAAGATGCTCCACTTATTGGGCCTCCCAGTGCCTTTTTCTCAGTGCTTTCCTGGGTACTCTTCTCCATGCTCTGTTGGCCTTGGTTCTGTAGTAACTGCCCGAACCCCGGCCAATCCCGTCCTACTAACACGGGGTAGGACAGAGTCGCGGCCTTCCCTATACTCGATCTTGGTCGCCTCCTGTTATTCAGACCCAGACCGTCGGGTAAGCTTTCACGTCCCCGTGGATGCATCGCATCCATACCGGTTCCCCTTCCAGCCATCCTCGGGGCACTAGGTCGGCCTGCACCAGGGTCACTGTCAAGCCCGAGTCTACTAGGACCTCGGTCCACTGGCCTTCTACCTTTAATTTACTGATACACTGGTCCCTACCCAAACCAGGGGCGGGATTGGAGCCGGCCCGCTCATCTCGGCTTAAGGTACAGTCCATGAGTGGGCAGTCCCACTTGAAATGCCTTTCTTGGCCACACTGGAAGCAGGACCCCCGAGGGCCTGGCCTCATTTCCCTCTGGGCCCCTTCCGGTGCTTCGTCCCCTTCTGGCTTTTCTGGAGCCTTGGCAGGCCATACAGGTGCCAATCTGGGGGTGTTGTCCCAACCCCGGCGGGTACCTTGGGGTTGTCCCTTCCCTGTGGGCTTGCTTTAGAGCCTCAGCCGCCCTACCTTTGGGCCAGGTAATGCCTCCCATCTACTGCCTCCTTCCGCTATCTCGGCCATTAGGTGGGCCTCCATCAAGTTCACTGCCTCGTTAAGCATCGTGGGCTGGTTTCTTCACATCCACCTCTGCCTCTTTCGAGGAAGGATGTGTATAAATTGCCCCATTATGACCATCTCCAACACCTGGGTGCCTGTTTTATGTTCTGGTTCCAGCCATCTGGCCCCCCCATTCTTGGAGACACTGGGCTACTGCACGAGGTCGATTCCCTGTTTTAAACTGTTCTTGCTGGAACCTCTTGCGGCAGGTCTCCGGGGAGTGCCCCAGCTGATCAAGTATCGCCTCCCTCACTTTGTGGTAATTCAAGGCATCACTGACCGACAGACTACAGTATGCCAGCTGGGCGGATCCGCTCGAGTATGTTGCCAACAAGGTGGCCCATTGCTTAGGTGGCCAGCATGCTGCAGTGGCCACTTGCTCAAATGTCGTGAGGGAGGCTTCTGGGTCGTCTTGGGGGCCTAACTTGGTGAGGTGAAAGGGCAACCCTGGTTCATCCCTGTGACTCGTGGTAACTCCCACCGGTACCTCCAACTTCTTCTCAACCGTCTGGCACCATTTGTCTTGTTGGGCCACTAACTCCATCATCAGGTATCGCTGGTGTTCCTGGAATTGAGCAGCTAGTTGCTGGACAAGTTGGGTCTGTTGTTCCTGCTGGGCCCATTGCTGTTGACGTTGACTCTCCACGAGCCACTCCAGCAATTGCCTCCGCTCCATCAGGTCGGCAGAGTCTGTCCCATCTGTGGCTCTAAACACTTGCCGAACACCTGGTCATTTGGTCTCTGTGGGTCACAATGTTGCTCACATTCTCCACCAGTTGTGACGGATTCACTGGGTGCGAGTGCCCCCTCTCGCTGGAGCGGGGAGGTTCTGCGAACCCACCATCAGAGTTGGGGTTTGTATCTTGGGGTCCGATCCCTCGTGGCGGAGTTCACGAGTGTGATCACTTATTGCTGGATCAGCAAGGGAGTTCAGCGGACCCACTGCCACAACCTCGTTAAGGGTCCTAGAGTTCTATCCCCAATAAGGGTTCTGGGGTTCTACCCTTGTTAAGGGTTCTGGGGTCCTATCCCCTAAGGCCCGTCCTGTACGGGCAGCAGTCGCCTGTACCACATCCGGAGTCACCCGACTCCTGGGAACTCCAGCCTAATGGGGCAGGTTGAATAGGTTGAGAGCGGAGAGGGGGGAGTGTGGGACTCAGGCCCACCCTCTCCACCGGGTCCCAGCCAGGGACCCTAAATGGAGGGATTAGTGCATTCCCTCCACAACAGGTGGGGTTGATCTCCAAAACTCACCTGCCCACGAGCGCCAGAAGCACTCTGCCCCAGGCTTCTTCCATCCCCGTCCTTTGCTAACCCGCCTGCGGACCCAACCTAGGCACTCATCCTTCCTGCGTCTTCCACCACATCAGGTCGGTGCCCTGGAGGCCGCAGCGTTGCTCCTTCATTCCTCCAACGGGGCAGGATGTTCATCTTCCCAGGGAGGCCGGCCGCTTTTCAAGCGGCCCGGGGAGAGACGCCGTGCGGGGTAATCCCACTCCCCTGGCGTCCTCACGCTCCGGGACGCTGCACCTGGGGTCAGGAGGTTTGCCCCTCGCTCCTTCCTGAGCCGCGTAGCCAGAACGCCCCTTTGGGGTCCGGCCTGTGCGCCGCGGCGGGGCCGCGCGCATTCCGCCACACTGGGTCTCGGCCCTGCCGAGGCTGTCCCGGCCGTCTGCGCCGCCGGTCTGCCATCCTGGCCCCGGAGGGAGAGAGGCCCCCCCTGGGGCAGTGCAGACCCCGCTGGGTCCATCAGACATACCCTTAGATATTCTCACTTTTTAAAAGCTTCAGAGAGGTAGGCAAGTTAGTTTGTAACTGGAAAAACTTTAAAAACTATGAATAGTCTTGCAGCACCTTAAACACTAACAAAACATGTAAATGGTATTATGCACTTTCGTGGGCACAACTCCTTTCTTCAGATGGCTGGAGTTTTAAAAGTCCAGATCTGGGGGGGGGGGGAGAGAGAGGTAGAGGATGGGAGGAAGAAAAAAAATAGTGAATTAGATAGTTCAAGTTACAAGAAGCTGATAAGAACAAATTGCACCTCTTTAAGCACCCACTGTTTGGTTGGTTAAGTCATTAGGATGTGGAAGGCAGTGTGCTAGAGCCAGCCAATGTCTTTATTTATTCCTCTCTGATAGGAATCGAACTTGTAAATGAAGTTAAGTTCCAACCTTCCCTTGATATTTGGGTTGTGGAATTGGCCTGGAACACATGGTGACTTTGAGATGCATTAATGAGTGCCCAGGCAGGTTAAAGTGTTCGCCAGTAGATTTCTGTGTGTTGCCTTTTTGGATATCTGATTTGGTGCTCCACAAGTGAAAACTGTTGTTTGACTTAGCCAGGGCTGATACCTTTCACAATTTGGGAGGAGTGAAAGAATTAATAATTAAATGCATTTTATGCATATATTAGGAACCATATGGATTCACTGGTCAATGTCAGTTTTCACAGAGCTTCAGGGGGTAGGCAAGTTAGTCTGCACAGGATAAACTTAAACAACAACAAATGGTCTGGTAATACTTTATAGACTAACAAAACATGTAGATGGTATCATGAGCTTTCGTGGGCACAGCCCACTTCTTGCCCACGAAAGCTCATGATACCATCTACATGTTTTGTTAGACTATAAAGTGCTACCAGACCATTTGTTGCTTTTTAACTTTTCACAGAGTTTTGGAAATCTGCACCAGCCTAATGAGAGTTTCTCATACTATACATACCTGTAGCAACAGGCAGGATACTGGTATGCCAAATGGTGCAATGGTTCTAAGCAAGCCTTATGAGGCTTACACAAAACCCATAAACCATACAGAAAAAAATCAGGTCATTCATGAACAGACTAGGAAGCTTGTATTTGGCTTCTGAGAACAGGGAAGGAAAAAAGAACCAATAGTGGTAGAAACTTGAGACTATAAAAAAAGAGTATAAAAAAGACTATGAGAGGGAAGATATTTAGCAAAATTATTTTCTGTGATGAAAGAAACATTTACATAGAAGATGAGTGAAACTACACAAAAATGGAGCTTTCAGGCTAAGCTGGAGAGAACAGTTAAATATCAGGTTTTAAATATTTATCCCCCCTACTCTCATAGCCTTAAGTCTAGGGGCAAGACTGGACTTAACCCCTCACCCTTCTTTTACTGCATCAATTCTTCAGAAAGGACACTGAAGTATTTATCCACTCTGAGTGGACATTTAAATTATTAAATTTAGAAGTGTGTAAAGGTGCCCTGTTGTTACTGTGCATATTCATATTCGCCCTTTCCCAACCCTTGCATGAACTTTGTTATGTGGCATCCTGTATATGATGCTGGATCCTTCTTTTTGTCCCAAAGGTAACATCAGTGAGGTGCTACTACATGGATATAGTTTGTAAAGAATGAAAGGTACTATTTAAATATTATTACCATCTCATTATTACTATTATCTATACTTTTCTACATTGAAACATAGTAAAAACAACAGCTATATTAAGATATCTATTAAACAAGCCTGCTGTTATTGAAAACAACAGATGTAAAGTGGAATACTTTTTAAGTTCCAAATGATAATTTCCCTACCTCATTATGCATAAATGGGATTCAGTTGGATAAAGATGAATGGCTCGATTTATATCTCTTAACGCATTCTGTAAATTGTGCACCTGTTATTTACAAAAAAATAATTCAGTTACTCATACATATTCTCTAATCACTTGTTACCCCATTTAATGTATTCTTCCCTACAAGAGATTCCTTTGTAATAAAATATGTAAATTAATGGATATGCTGTCTTTTTAAGTTTTAAATAATTAGAGAACACAGAATGACTTCCACATCATGCATAAATACCATTAGTAAATATTTTATTTTAAAATCAACTTTGGCTTCACTTATCAACCAACACCTGAGTTCAGGATTTTCTGTTCTGCCTACCACTAAGGTTGACACTAAAACAAATGCATATAACAGTACAGGGACCCTTTATCCTGAAAAAAGATACAAATAGGCAAACTTCCTAAATTGCTTTTATATTTTATAAAAGCTTATCTATTCATTTTACTTCACTACTATTATTTTAAACATTCCACAGATAGATGGCTAGGTAAGGCTCTAAAACAGACCTCAGAGCTCTAAATATTCAGGTCATGGAAGAAGGCTTTACAACTACAGTTACTACAAATGGGATTATCTGTTACTGCTTTTGATCCCAACCCTGCAGAGATTTACATATGTGCTTAATTTTATACATTGCAAGTCATCCCATAGAAATCAATATATACAAAAACTTATGCATGTATGTAAGGCATGAATATATATTTAAATGTTTTTCATAGTATCTATGAAATGTATAAGTAGTATTATAATGATTTAAAAAACAGAAGATAAAATACCTTATAATATGCTTGAGCTCTACATATATAAGTTCTACTGTTTGTGGGCTCAATACCAATGGCCTTAGAGAACTGTCGAATAGCTTCATAGTAATTTTCCAAATGTAAAAGTAAAATCAAGCCAATATTTATGTAAGCCAAGGCAATACCACTAAAAAATAAAGATTCTTATTTTTCATTTTGTTATACATTATAAAACACTTTATTGTATACATCAATGACCAATACAACAGATTTCATCTAATTATTATGGTACTATAAAAACACATCTGTAAATAGTCAAAAGCTAGGCTTTGAAGTTACACATATTTGCTTACGTAGCACACATCAAATGCATTACTAATTACCTTTTTAATTCCTTTGAACACTGTATATATATGCATGATCAGTGACCTCAAAACACGGTCTGCACCTTTTTTCATGGATGTTTATTAAAAGGTGTAAGATGCAAGTCGTGTTTCATCAGCATTCCTTGGACTTTCTCCTAGATCGGGGTGGGCAATAGTTTTTAAAAGGGGGCCACTTCAGAAATTCCTGAAATGGCCCAGGGCCACCCCAGAACCAGCAAGGCCTCAGGCGGAAGAGGCAGGGCCAGGAGACTTCTTGTGCTTCTTTCCCCACCCAGATTGGCCTGGGGTGGAGGAGCATGAGAAGTCTTCCCCCTTCTTCCCACACCCCCTAGAGAGCTATGCCAGCTGGAACTGGTTCTGTTAAATATCTTCATCAACTATTAAGATATTGGCATAAAGAATATGCTTATTAAGTTAGCAGATGATACCAATCCGGGAGGGGTTGCAACTGGTTTGGAAGATAGGGTCATAATTCAAAATGATCTGGACAAACTGGAGAAGTGGTCTGAGGTAAATAGGATGAAGTTTAATGAGGACAAATGCAAAGTACTCCACTTAGGAAGAACAATCAATCTCATACATACAGAATGGGAAGCGACTGTCTAGAAAAGAGTACTGCAGAAAGGGATCTAGAGGTCATAGTGGACCACAAGCTAAATATGAATCAAAAGTGTGACGCTGTTGCAAAAAAAGGCAAATATGATTCTGGGATACATTAACAGGAGTGTTGTGAACAAGACACAAGAAGTCATTCTTTTGCTCTACTCTGTGCTGATCAGGCCTCAATTGGAGTATTGTGTTCAGTTCTAGGCACCACATTTCAAGAAAGATGTGGAGAAATTGGAGAAGATCCAAAGAAGAGCAACAAAAATGATTAAAGGTCTAGAGAACATGACCTATGAAGGAAAACTGAAAGAATTGGGTTAGTTTAGTTTAGAAAAGAGAAGACTGAGAGGGGACATGATAGCGGTTTTCAGGTATCTAAAAGGGTGTCACAAAGAGGAGGGAGAAAAAATGTTCTGAGGATAGGACAAGAAACAACGGGCTTAAACTGTAGCAAGGGAGGTTTAGGTTGGACATTAGGAAAAATTTCCTAATTGTCAGGTGGTTAAACACTGGGATAAATTGCCTAGGGAGGTTGTGGAATCTTCATCTCGGGAGATATTTAAGAGCAGGTTAGATAGATATCTATCAGGGATGGTCTAGACAGTAATGGGTCCTGCCATGAAGGCAGGGGACTGGACTCGATGACCTCTTGAGGTCCCTTCCAGTTCTAGTGTTCTTTGATTCTATGAAAGTCTCTCTCTTTCCAGGGTAGTCCATATACAAAAAGAAAGGGGAAATAAGAAACAGAGGAGAATGATTCCATCTTAGGATGTGCCTGAATCTGGCCCTTCCTTCCCTTAGGTGACTTTCAGGCAAATGGTCATCTTGGAAACTTCTACCTTCAGGTCAGCCCTTTCCTCAAGAACTGAAAAAGGTTGAAGGTCTACTGTCTTCCTTGGTCCACCAACAATAGTTGCTCTGTTCCCCTTTGAAGCTCCTTCTCTAACCTATGCATGTCTTGCAGGATTGAACTGCCTAGGCCAGGCCTGGGCAAAATACGGCCCACAGGCAGGAGCCCACCAAGCCACCAGGTCCAGCCTGCAGAGGCAGTGGGAAGCCCCAGGCAGGCTCATCTGCTTGCACTGCAGCCCTGTGCACTGTGCAGAAATGCAGCTGCAGGGGTTCCTTTCTGTTTCAAAACTGGAGGGGAAGGGGGAAATTTCAGGAGCTGCCCTGCCTCCAGCACAATCCCACTGGCCAGTTTCTGGCCAGAAATCAGCTAATGGGAGCTGATTGTTTGAATAACAGGCAGCCAAGAAGAATCACACCCCCTCTCCTCGGCTCAGTTATTCAATGGCTAGGCAAGCAGGCAAGTTGGTTTGGCTGCTGACTGGTAAGTCTCTTGGCCACAGCCTGCCTCCGGCACCCCAGCCTCTCCCTGCCCCAATCTTCTTTCCCACCCTCAACATAAGCAAACACTCTGTTCCCCTCTTGAAGCCATACTCCCTCCCAGATGTGTCACCCCAATCTCCAGACCCAGATCACAATCCCCTTCCACCCTAGGTCACATTTCCAAGCCCCTGCACTCCAGACCCCTCCCCTAGGTCACAACTGCCTTCTTCACCTAAACTCCCTCCCAGACTCCAGTCTCTCTCCTGCACACCAATCCCTTACCCAAGCTCCCCTCTGCACCCAACCTCCATCCCAGACCCTGTATCTCCTCCATTAATATCATGGAAGAGTGCAGCTCTCAACCACTTTCCAAAATCTTGGAGTGGCTCCCCATCAAAAATGATTGCCCACCCCTGGTCTAGGCCCAGAATAGCTCCTTAATCCCTGTTGTCCCATATGGGGTTTGTATATCTCATCACATATCCTTCCCCTCCAGATGGTACCTGGTGAACCAGAGCTAGTGAATTGTCTTTCCTGCTCCCAACTCCAGGGAAAAAATGAGCATTTTGGGTGAGCTCTCCTCACTCTGCACTTATAGTTCAGACAGAGTACTGTATGTTCCTCTCCATTTGCTACCTGGGAAGACATTGTGCTTAGTCTTGTTTCTGAGGCACTGCTTTGCAAAATGAATTCTTTTGAAGAAGTCGGCATTGACAAAGGCAGGCTCTTTGAAGAGGTTTCAGGGGTAGGGCTGCTAGCATCAAAACCTGGTTCAAATTGGTTGTAGTAAGCTGACAGCATCAAAAATCTTTGAACCATGGGATATAGGAGCCTGGACTTTGTGCTCTGTGGCCTAGACTTTGTGCACAAGGGACATGGTCTGACCTTTCCCTAAAGTATACCCTAGTTAGATTGTTTCTTCTTTCCTAATCTTACACTTGGCTGAGTTTGCAGTTAGTCCAATTTCCCATATAAACCAAATACAGAGGTGATTTGAGCTAGATGTCCCTCTCAATCTCAGCTGTAGAAGTCCACATCATCTAAGGAGGAGCATTGTCAGCAGATCTAGAGAAGTGATTATTCCCCTTTATTCAGCACTGGTGAGGCCACATCTGGAGTATTGCTTCCAATTCTGGGCCCTCCACTACAGAAAGGATGTGGACGCATTGGATAGGGTCCAGCAGAGGGCAACCAAAATTATTAGGGGGCTGGAGCACATGAGAAGAGGCTGAGAGATCTGGGCTTAGTGTGCAGAAAAGAAGAGTGAAGGGGGATTTGATAGCAGCCTTCAACTTCCTGAAGGGAGGTTCCAAAGAGGATGGAGTGAGGCTATTCTCTATAGTGAGAAGCAATGGTCTCCAGTTACAGTGGGGGAGGTCTAGGCTGGATATTAGGAAAAACTATTTCAATAGGAGGACGGTGAAGCACCTATGGAGGTGGTGGAATCTCCATCCCTAGAGGTTTTTAACCCATGGCTTGACAAAGCCCTGGCTGGGATGATTTAGTTGGGATTGGTCCTGCTTTGGGCAGAGGGCTGGACTCAATGACCTCCCAAGGTCTCTTCCAGCCCTATAATTCTATGATTCTAAATAGTCTGTTCCATCTGAGCCAGAGGGGTGGAATAACTTGTTCCATGAGCAATTAAAACATTTTGGGACATGGTGGAGGCCAAAAGCCATATACCTAAAATCACTGAGGCCAAAAGGTGTGGCAAAGGCATTTTTATCCCATGATTCTGATGAAGTAGGATCTGGCAATATCCCTTGGTTAGGACGAATGAGGTGATATATCAGGCCTCATCCAGCTGGTCTACTATCTCATCAGCATGTAGTAGACATCAAATTTGGAGGTAGCACTGATCTTTCTGAAGTCTACATAAAATCAGATACTGCTGTCCAGCCATCCAGCTTGGTACAGCCATTTAGAGATTCTTCAGTGACTCCTAATTCTGACATTGCATGGAACTTTTGCCTCATGGACTCATGTATTTTGTGGGAGAGTGGCCATTGGTTCTCCTAGACAAGTTTCCCAGGCTCTGTTTGGATATAGTGTTGCACAAATGAGTCCACCTCAGCTGGGAGATAAACACTGTCAAGAAAGCTTTTACTAAGCTTCCTGCATGCACCTTCTATTCTAAGCAACTAAGTTCTCCCATCTGTATAGGATCTGGAATCAGTGAGGTGGACACTTGAGGTCCCAGGATAGGCTCGGGGGTAAGGAGTAATAAATATACCCTGCTCTTCCATATCTTCAGAAGATTAATCTAGTAGACCTGGATTATGTTCCTCTTGTCAGGTTGCCTGATTTAGTAGTTAAGTGGTCGAACATGGTGGAGTACTTCATATAGCCCCTGCATTTAGCAAGTAACTTGAACTCTGCAGTCAGGAGTAGAAATATCCAATCACCCATCTTAAATATGCACCCCTTTGTTATAGGCTGCCTCCTGGGTTAAGTGAGCAGTGAGGCCATTTTCTTTGGCAAAAGTCAACAGGGTTTTGAGCCTCTCCGAGGGCTTCAAGCATGTGGTGTATAGCATTCTCCATCAGAGTAACCTGGTCCTCCCATATATGATGGGCCAGCTCGATAATTCCTAGGGACTGTCTCCCATATTAGAGTTCAAAAGGGAAGAATGAAGTAGATAGCAAATAACATGGGAGAAATAAACTAATCCCAGTGACCAGGATCCTGAGCAATTAACTTCTTTAACATCGTTCTCAGGATCTAGCTAAATCCTTCAACCAGCACTTGTGGATGTTGGAGCTAAGCATCTATTAGATCTACTGAAGTCAAGAAGTCCCACTGAGACAGGGAGGATACTATAGAGGCCCATCTGAAACTTCATTTTCTTCATCTACTTGTTAAGACTTTTGAATCAGAATTTGCTCTAATAATACTCCCCAACTCCTGCCCTCATCCTGTGCATTTCTACACAATAAAAAAAAATGCAGTAGAACCCAGAGAACCTTTCTTCTAAGAGAACATATTCTATCAATACAATATGAAGAAGATGAGACATTTCATTCTGGATCAGATTGTATTTTCTGGGGTTGCTATAACTGGATTACTGAGTGAAGAATGGATGGGGTGGATCCCTCACCCTCTGTGCTATTTGTCTGTAGTTGATAAACATTCATGTAGGATATTCTGACCTTTAGCTTCAGTTTGGAGTGGGGAGGTCTATGCAATCTTTATCAGAAAGTGGATTTTTAAGAAGATGGGTTTCCTATGGAGTTTAAGCTTTCCCTCTGAGCCTCACTTTCACTGTTTTCCCTTCAAGAATCTGTTGCTTGTAAACTTGATTGAGTATAGGACCTGTTAAGAGTTAGTGTTCTCCTTCCAATGATCGAGCCATAGGCTGTTCTTGGCTACTGAGCTGGAAGCCATAAATTGGGCTGAGAACCTTATTGAATCTACTGAAATGTCAACTACAAGCACTGTTGCTAGGGAGACTTTCTTTCAAATGGAACCAAAGTCAGGGTGATCTCTGCCCTTAAGGGCTTTAAGCTTTTCCAGCCAGAAGAGATGTTCTTGCAAAGTATATAGATGCCAAATATGCTTGGAAGATGGCAGTGGTGGCTTCAAAGTCCTTTTTGTGAGTGGCCTCCAACTTTCTAACCATAGAGTCCTTTAGAGGAGACCTTTTCCTCTAAGAGAATAATCATAACCCTTGTGAAGGATGTTACAGTAGTGTCCACCTTTGGTAAGTCAGCAACAAAGCCCTTTATTTATTGAATGTTATGCAGCATGAGGTTACTCTTGTTAATGTCTTATCATGCTTGTTCCACTCATCCCTAAAGAATGAGTGAAAGAGCATTGCTGCCTTATAGGAAGATTTTGAGGAGAGAAACTTATTCAGGCTTACCTTCAGGAGCCTGCTCAAGTTGCATTTGAATCACGAAAAAAATCTTGTTTCACATACCTTGATATGTCTTAGGAAAAAAATCTTTCCTGCATTTTTCTTCCAGCCTATTTCTGTTCAAGACCAGACAGCCTACTTTCCCTTGTAGATATTAAGGAGGGAGACGAGAATAAAACACACTACCTCCTTATTTTAGTGCTTTTTCTTTCGCTTTGGGGGTAAAGAAGTTTTGCTGCAGTTCTGATGAGAACTTTTGTAGTTAGCCTTCCTGTGAGCCTGGAGCCCTTGAAGAGGTTGCAGAGTCTTCCCTATAGAATCTAAGCTCCCCCTGGAAGAGGAGCTCCTAAATCAGAGCCAGCTGGATCATCTTGGGATAGAGGGGGCTGTTTAGGACCACTTTAAGATTTGGGGGATCTGTGGATCCACTACTGTCCCTCTTTGTTCTGCAAAGGTTCCTTGGGACTTAATGCCTCTCTTGAGTGGTCTGGGTCCTGCTCACTTTTAGAGCTTCTCTCTGCTCTGAACTGGGGTTTCTGTTCCATTCTCCCCACACACACTGGAGTCATGGTTGGCTTGATGAGTCAGGGGCCTTAGCTGCTTGACCCATAGCCCTAAATCTTAACAGATATAGGAAGAGAAAGCTGAAGATAGGCTGGACATCACTCATCCTCAAGGTTGGGAAGGCTGCTTCACCAACAGAGCATTGTCTGGATTTAACCCTGTGCTTTCTTGGCTGCTCACCACACCAGCAAGGTGTAGAGATGCCAAAGTGAGACAGCACAGGCTCAGAAAGGGTTAAAGCCCTGATGGGTTAATTGACCCAGAGATGAGAAGAAACGTAGGAAGAAATGCTGCTCAGTGTCCAAAGGCTGGGCAGGAACAGCTCAAATTGCTAAAATAAGAGCAGGAACAACAGAAACTGCCTGACTCCTGGCATGAAGG